CAAATATGTCTAAATAGTGAGTTAAATAAACGATACAATAATAAGTTTTTCTTCCCTCCTCGACTATTTAGGTTTGCGAAGTTGTTCAATTAAGGGAAAATGACTAATGCAAACTAAAAGGACTGTAATAATCGGGCATTGCGAAAAACCTTAGTTTCCTTCGATAGCTTCTGAAAGCTGATGAAACTCGTCGGTCGCAATGAACCACAAATTAAAACCAAAAAAAAAAAAGAAAAAAAAAAGCTAAACAACAAGAAAAATATAAATATTTATAGAAATAATAAAAATAATCGGTTAAATTTCTATATAATTAAATTTAATCATGACCCTAATACAAACACATGAACACAACAAATCATGGATAAATTAATAATTTTCTGCATATTTTCCATAAAACAACAGCGATACCAATGATAATAAAAACAATAATAATAATAATAATAATAATAACAACAACAACAACCACAGCGACAACTGAAACGAAAAACAATCACAACAATCCAAAATTAAAAACTCTCGACGACTTGCAGCCAAACAACAGATAAATACAGCGACATCAAATATCTACTAACCAAAAATAAGAACAACAACAGCAACAACAGAAACATTAATTAACCGCAAAAGTCTGCGTGAATGTATGTAAACCGTACGAGCATATACCAGCAAAAACACAACCGAACGCAACTAAAATTTAAAATCTTCCTGAAATCAACTAAACGTTAACAAAAAAGAAAAAAAAAAAAACAAAGATGAATAGACATACATACAGACACGACACGAATAGGAATCCTTGAGGTACCATCTGTGGCTTTAAAGTAGGCAATTAAAACATTTTAATGTCCATTTTGAAACGAAATTTTAACTGAAGACTTAACTGAATAACACAACAGTTTTCTGAGGGTAACATTGTTGTCTTTCTCCTTTTTCCTCTGTTCTTGCAATTTTTGATCCTTTTGTTTTTTTCATTTTTTATTCCTCTTTTTTTTCTTTTTGTTATAATTCACGCACAATATACCATAAAAACAACAAAAAAGGAAAGGAAATGAAAAGAAAAGAAAAACAGAAAAGCATTTCATAAAATATATGTACAAACGCAAAATGTTAATAATTCTTGCAAAACATGTACGCAAAAAAAAAAAAAAAAAAAAATCAGATAAAACCCTTTGAGTTGAAAAAGTAAAAAAGAAAACCAACAGCATTACAAAAGAAACAAAAAAAAAAAAAAAACGCTCCTCACGCCCTCCATATTATAATAAGAACTGGCAACGAAATATATAAAAACAATATCAACTTTATTTTGTTTGCTTTGACTTACATTAAATCACTGATGTGAAACGGCATTATGCCGATCGACCAATCAGAGTCGGTTTCATGAAAAAGATTCTTCGTTTAAAATAACTATGAAGTGCGTTACAGTAATGTTGTTGTTGCCGTATCATTTCATTTAGCTTTGCGATTGGTCGCAAACGTAAAGCAGAGTGAGAGAGAGAACGCCTTTGTACACCCCACATATAATTCATTACAGGTACTACATAGCTATGTGTTATTATTATTATTATTATTTTTTTTTTCTTTTCCATATATATATATATATATATATATATATATGTGATAAGAGACATTTTCATTGAGCATAAGATAATTTAAGAGAATTTACACTTTGGTGAAGAGTATTGGATAGAAGCTCAATGCCCAGTAGGAATGTTTTTATTAAGTTCTTGTTATTCTTGTGTTTATTCAACGATTGTTGTGCGACGCAAAAACACATTCCAGACTCACTGTCGCATGTAAAATGTAATATTTGCAAGCTTAGGTAAATTATCAAAATTCTTTTTGCCAATGTTGCTATCATATGTCACAAATATGATAAACGAGCTTGATATATGCCCAAAAATTCGACTTATACCCGGGAAAGTAAATGATGATAAACGACCTTTGAATATGTTTGGTAAACCTCTTACCGCAAGACTTCAATGAACTTGGGTGAGTTTACCTTAAGGACTAAATGAAGATGCATTACTGGCTTAAGCAAAATGACAAATATTGTCAGGTCTAGTATTGACCTTCGAACTGAAAATTTCTTGGCCTATTTAACGTTGGATTCTGTTGATCGCGATACGCTTTGTGCTAAGCTTGAAAGAACGTAAAATATTATATTAACCAACAGACCTGCTCTAGTATGGCATCCGAGTGTGTTAGTAAAGCAAACAGAGAGGCCCTTAAGCGTCTTATTTGCTTTGTACAGAAACGAATACACAGCAATGTGAACGTACATCAGGATAATGTATGTAACTGACTGGAGTAACGTTTTCCATTCAACTCTGAACTATATTCATGTCATTGCATTATAGCTTACAATCAATCGATCATAGTTAAGAACGCAAAATCATATCAGTTAATATGCTATCTAGTTCATGTTATGCAACGTATAGGTAGCTAATAGCTGTACATTATTTGGATTAAGGCTCTTTATGGTCGAAACTTATCTCCTCCCAACGCTTCTCTTCGGCTCTGAATGATTTTCAAATTGTGGGCCAGAATAAAAATGACTATCAACAATTTTTTTGGGTGATCCTATCTCAGCATAAGCACATTCGCTCCTGGTCCCCACACTTGAAAGCATACCCTAGCAAAGATTCCTGCTATTATTATTACATCAAATTACTTAAACGCGGCAGCCGTCTATGCCTACTCATAAAAGTAAGCATCCCGACCAATAATGGAGGCATGAAAATTATACAAATGAGCCATTGTACCGTAATATCTGAAAGATTTTTTCTTATATATGCTTCTTAAACTATACTTACTCTATTATCGAGTTTGCAAATGACCGGCAATCCTGCAACATTTACATGCTTACGTTAAGTCGTATTATATAATTTTATTCATTTATCTATTTTTATTTTCGCTATAATGGATTTCCGATCTTATTTAATTAGTGATGTTTATATATGTTTCTTTCCAGATGCTCTTGTTGCCAAGTGTGCTTGTAGACTATAGATTCCAGCCACATACAAAAGTTTTCTATATTTTGAAAACAAGCTTGCTTTCGATCCCTACAACATGAAACTGCTGATGGTTATTTCGCGTAGAGCTCTCTTAGCTCCGAAAGTTAAAGAGTGAAAAATGCCTCACATTCATCTCAGAAACGCAAAAGATTACTATAAAAGATTGTGAAGCATCAAATCAAGACAACCACCACAACCGCAATTCCCGAAAATTTGAGAGATATCTAGTAAGCTAAGATTTACGAAATATCTTATATAATATCATATATAATATTGCAATAAATTAGTCTCTAGCCATACCTGGGAAACGGAAAATGATCGCATTTTCAGGGCAAATTAGAGGAAAAGGCTTGAAAACTTTTCTCCCGTTTAGTTTTGTACAAATTGATTGACGAGCCGAAATCGCACAAAAAAAGATACATTTCCCCCTTTAATCGTCAGGCGAGCTATCGCAGAGCTAAGCTATTTAAGAAACGCTGTTATGATAGTCGGTATACTCGGGTTCAATCCTCAAGAGACTAAAGTCGGTGGACTATATATTCATTACAATTGGGGTTTGGTCATAGCTGCAGTACGTAAGTCAAGGGTCTAATACACCTACCAGGCTGTGGTTACTCTTTATCTTCATGCTCCCGCTTTTTTCTTATCAGCGTCGTATTACTGTTGTAAAGGATGCACTTGCGTAATTGATCAGATAAAAAAAATCACTCGGGTTATTTGTCTCATTTGGCATTATATTGTTCCTGTCGATTGAAAAGAATGTGGCTGAAAGGAAAATGTCATGCTTTTTTAGAAGTCATCTAAACTGTTTGGAGCGATGCATCATATATGATTTAATGCACATACAGATGTGACAGGAGGGAATTGTTAATATATTTGCTTAATAATATATACAAAAAAAAAAACAAAAAAAACAAAAAAAACAATCGTAAAAAATTCGTTGAAATATTCCTACTGGGTCCTATAGAGACCATCAATACAGAGCATAGAGTAATAAGAGATATTTTCTTAAGAGAAGCATCAAGAATAAGAGTAAGGAAAATATTTCAAATATTAAACGTTTCGGATTAAAGTGATTCTTATCTCGTAGTTTAGCTCTACTTTCGTTTTTGTTGTAATTTTATAGGGGATATAATGCATAGCGGCACATAATACAAAATAATAAAAATGCTGAACACACGTACAAAGGAGAATTGTGGGTAAAAAATTTATACATTGTGTTTAGTTTTTGCATTCATTGTTGTGACTTGAGCTTGAGTGTGACTCTATGGTTAGACCGATGCTGGTGGCCAGGTTAAATGCCAGTAATAATTTGTTACGGCGCGCGTGAGCACTCTTGAGCGATCATAAACTGCAAATTCAAAACACCTAAATAAAATACAAAAAAAAAAAAAAAAATAAAAAAACAAATAAAGATTTTTTTTTTTTAATTTAAAAATTAAAAAAAAAAAAAAGAATTGAAATAAAATTCATAGCGAAATTATTAAATAAATTCAGCCAAATGTAATATAAATAAGTGCAAAGTTCAGTTATTAAATATAGTAATAGTAGTAATAATATTATTGCAAAAAAAAAAAATAAATAAATAAATAATAATAAATAAATAAATATATATACATATATATAAACGTGAGAAAATTTAGAAAAGAAAACAAAAAAAAAAAAAAAAAAAACAAAAAAAAACCCATCAACCAATTTATTAATAATTTACCCGACGCATTTTTCAAAACTTCACCTTTTCCCCAAATCATTTACTCATGCATTGATTTTTTTACGACAAAGTTTGCAAAATTCATGCATTTCAAGAAATGCCCAGAAATCTACACTTAATTAATTTACAATAACAG